CCCTGCTCCAGCCCAGATCCAGGCCCCAGCAAGCCCAGTGACAGTCCCCAGGCAGGCCCCAGGGGGTAAATGTCTGATAAAGGGGTAGGGAGGATGTCTGGTGAAGGTGTTCAATGGCACAGGGGTGGGGGAAGGGGGATCACTTAAAATGACATAGGAGGATCAGAGGGGGCAATGAAAATGACACAGGAGGATCAAAAGGGATTACTAAAATGGTAATCCCCCCTCTGTTTCTCCTGTGCCATTTTGATTCCCCCCTCTGATCCCCCCTGTGTCATTTTAAGTGATCCCCCTCCCCCCACCTTGATACCTTTTTTTAACCCCTAGAAATGAGTGCAAAAAGAAAAAGCTACTCTGTGGAGTACAAGAAAGGAATCGTGGAAGACTCTTGGGGCCAAAATCTTACTGCTTTCTGCAAAAAGACGACGTTGAGTATCCGATTGGTCTGAAAATGGTGAGCAGAGTATGGTAACCTCATTGAACAAGTGGACAAGGGAAATGCTAAAAAGCTCAAGTGTGGATCAGGTTGGCAACCATTATTTTCCGAGCTGAAGAACCTGATCTGTGAATGGGTTGTTGACAGGAGAGCAAAGGCTTTGGTTGTGAAAAGGGCTCAGATTCAAGAATTTGCCCTTGCAATGGCACCACAGTTTGACATAGCCCCCGAAGACTTCAAAGCATCACAACACTGGCTGGACAATTTCCTTCAGCGAAGTGAACTGTCTTTAAGAAGATCTACAACATTGTTTAGGTTGGAAGATACTCAAGTTATTAAGTGAGCACTTGCATTCAAGTCCTTTATTGATGATGCTGACTTCTCTAAATACAATCTTTCCAACCTGATTGCTATGGGTGAAACTGCAGTGTTTATGGGCCAATCATCTCAAACAACAATTGAACAGAGGGTGCCTCCTTAGTGTACATTCCCTCCACTGCTTACGAAAGTGCACGTGTTCCTGTATTTTGGCAATTCATCTGGATGGCACTAAAATCCCACCTTTAATCATTTCTAAGGGTAAGAAGGAAAAGATTGAACGTGTTTTGGGCATTTTTATTCTTGAAACTGAAAAAGCCTGGGCCACACAAGAAGTTATAAGGAAGTGGGTCGATTTAATGCTGCCGCTTGTTATGCAAGGGAGCCAAAGAGGTCTGCTAGTCTGGGATGCAGCCAGCACTCACCGCACTAAAGACATGAAGACATTTCTTCACGGAAGAAAAATACATCAGATAATAATTCCCGCAGGAATGACGGCTTATCTCCAGACTCTTGATATTGCAATAAACAAGCCATTCAAAGACAATTTGCGCATGGAAATTAATGGCTACATTGAAAATAAAATGAAGAGAAATCAGCGTGGAAACTTTGTGAAACCTAAACTGCAAGAAGTTGTGACTTGGGTGAAGAATTCATGGGAGAAAATCACTGACAGTTGCATTGCAAATGCACTGAGAGCAGGCTACCTTGACAAGAAGTACTCATTTAAAGACAGTGCTATTGCTAAACATGAGAGATTTGGTCCACTGATTCTGAAAGAAATGGAGTCACAAGAAATTCACCAGGAAATTCAGGAATTGGATTGTTATGATGATGTTCCAGATGATGATGACATGATTGTCACTGAATAAATGAGTAAATTGTTGATACTGTAGGATTCACAGTTTGTCTGGTTTGTGTTGACAACTACCGTACTACCATACCGTATACAGGTAATAAATTTCCTTTATTTTCACTTAACAATAAATGTGTACCATATTCTTCTTCGTGGAAAAATAAGACATCCCCTGAATATAAGACCTAGTGCATCTTTGGGAGCAAAAATTAATATAAGACACTGTCTTATTTTCGGGGAAACAGGGCATTATTAGTTCTTACATCTTACGGGGCATGAGAGAATTATCTATACTAATAAAAGCCTAGGTGGCCCTCACACAACGCCCCCATGTCATCACAAGATAGCCGCCCCTGCGTCGTTACGAGATGGCCACCACAAGATGGTCAGCAGAGCAGGGCAATTGGGGGCAACCAGACGGGCTGGAGAGGACAGTTGGGGATGAGATCAGGCCAGCAGGGGAGAGCAGTAGGGGATGAGATCAGGCAAGCAGGGGAGTAGTTAGGAGACGATCAAGCTGGCAGGCAGAATCAGTTAGAGGCAAGCAGGCAAGCAGGCAGGCAAGTGGTTAGGAGCCAGCAGTCCCAGATTGTGAGAGGGATGTCCCTGAAGGATCAGACCAAAACTGGCAGTTGGACATCCCCCAAGGGGTCCCAGATTCAACCCGGGCTGAAAGACCCCCCTCAACCCCCGTACACAAATTTCGTGCACTGGGCCTCTAGTGTAAGACTAGTGGTCCAGTGCATAAATTCATGCATATTAAAAGGAAATGAATTAGAAGATATATTTTAATATCATTACTCGCCCTTTCTCTATAGTACAAGTGTCAGAGATGAAAGAAAATTAATAAAATGTATATTAAAATAATATATAAATTGGTTAATAATTAACATGATAGAACAAAGACATGATATAAAAACAAAATCATGATATAAAAACATTGATAAAAACAATGACTGACAAGTTGATTAAACTTATTATAATACCTCCCTGTATACCACATTAAGAGTAAAAACACTTTCAGAGTGCTTTACTAATTTTCCTTGTGATGAAGTATTTATAACTAACTTTAACGTCACATGCTTTTCGAACTCAAGAGAAAGCAACATATAACTGACTATGTTCAAAAAAGGGTTTGAACATAAGCAAAATATTCCTACTCTGTTTAGAATTTGTCCCTGTGATTTATTAATAGTCATAGCAAATGCTGGCATCCTGGAAAACTGTCTTCGAATTAATTTAAATGGGAGGCCAGTGCCAGATGGAATCAATTCTTGGAATCAGAACAACCTCTCCTGCAGATCCTGTTAATACTTCTGCTTCTACTATGTTAGGTCGCAATCTTTTGATAATAAATCTAGTACCATTACAAAGACCCCATTTCTATTAAGATTTCTCAGTGGCATGATGATTACATCTACTTTCAATTTTAATTTATGACATGCATTCCTGAAGGAGTAATACTATTAAGAAATTCAGCGGAAGCTTTATATGTATCACATATGAGCAAGTCAATGCTTATTTTTCAACTGCCAGTGTGCATCATATATACCAGCCAGTAGGTCAGTCAGACAGTCGGATGGACGGTCAGTCACTTAGCCTTTTATCCTATACTAGAAGCACGGTGCACGAAATTCGTGCACAGTTGGGGTCCCTAGGCCTGGCCATCAATCAGGGCCTATCAGGCCATCTTGCCCAGTCCTGATCCAGGCCAGGCCAGCCAGGGCCCTGCAGGACAGGGTCTGCCAGACAGGGGGAGGGACAGCAGGAGGTTTGCTGGCTGGGGGGTGGCATGGGGAGAGGTTGGCTGGCTGTGTGAGGTTGGCTGTGGGAGTGCACTGACCACCAAGGGGCAGCTCCTGCATTGAGCATCTGCCCCTCTGGTGATCAGTGCATGTCATAGCAACTGGTCAACTGGTCATTTCAGTCATAAGTCATTGTAGTCTTTTAGTTGTAAAGGTCACTTAGGCTTTTATATATCCTAATAATCATCTTATACAATAAAGAGCTAATATGCTAATTAGACCAAACAGCAGAATGACCAGTCACTATGACACACTCTGACCACCAGGGGGCAGACACTCAATGCAGAAGTTTCCCTGTGGTCAGTGCACTCCCACAAGGGGAGGGCCCTTAGCACAGTGGCAGTGGTAAGAGCCTCCTGTCTCTACAGCAGTCAGCCATCCCCCAAGGGGTCCCGGACTGTGAGAAGGCAGGGCTGAGGGACCTCCCCAGCCCCCCAGAAGTGCACAACTGTCATGCACCGGGTCTCTAGTATATATAGATAACATAAGCAAAATATAGTGCCAGGTACATAATGCGTGTTCTACAAATAAAGGTTACTATTAATACTATTAATGGAATAACCAAAGAAAAAAACAAAAGCGCTAACCCTAAATTCCAACTAGGTGAAACCTGTAAATGGTAGGCCAGAGGCGCCCAGGGCCACTTACAACAGGAAAGCTAGCATTTTCTAGCATCAGCATGTTCCTCCATAGTTTGCCTGCTTTGAGTTGCTCCTATGTGCTACTAGATTCTAAATAGCAGAGAAGAAAGAGTACGTCACAGCAAAGTCCAGAATTGTTTTTGCCTAGCATACTTGCTGGTTTAAAAGACATAAAGACATTCTGTTTGCTAGGGTTTTCAAAAAGCTCTACTCTTTTTCTCCAAATTATCTCCCCTCTCACTGAAACACCTCTCTGGAATATACTGTCAGAGCCTGATCCTTTAATTCCCACACGCTTCCCCATCATGATTTCTTTCTATTTGCAAGTTGGGTAGACAACACTGCAGGGAAGTGGCAGTAGAGAGAAAAATCATGTTCTGATAGCAAAGAAGGCAATAATTCAATATTAGTCCATTTTTTAAATGTGGGTTAAATTAGAAAATAAAACCAGTTTACCTGACCCTGAAGTAACTACAAACTGCTGTAACCCCAGATAAACGTCTAAATTGTCCTGAAGAACTGGGAACTGAAAATAAAGAAACAACAATTAAAAAACAAAATATATATGTTACCATTAAAACAGGCCATGTACCTCTGGGAGGTAGGGAAGTGGGGAGGTGCAGTGGGATAAAAACTCTTCTCTGGAAACCTCACGTGCCCTAAGAAGAGGAGCTCCCGCATCCCTAACAATTTCTGTAACTGAAACCACCATCAGTTTGGTACTTTTTTAAAACAAAGCAGTGGATGCTGGGTATGATTACGATGTTCCAAAAAGAGGACTTCAAGCCCCAAATGACCTGATCCTTTTACACAGGCCCCTCTCCCTTCAAATCCAAGGTAAACCTACCCTTGAGAGAAATACGGATATGCCTTCATTCAACTGCATGGCAGAGTAAAGCCAGGCCAAATTATTTGGAAGTCATTTTCCCTTACTCATTTAGCAGACAGGACCTTCATAAACAGAGCTGTATCTTTTCTTTCTAAACTGCTATTCGCCACTAAGATAAAGATAAAAACTTTAATGTGGCAAATCCCTAAGAATGGCAGGTGACAAAATGGCAATCTCCATAGAAAAACCCAAGATACAATGCAAAGCTGACCCCAATAAATTATCTTGCCTTTGAAGGAGAGAGGCTTAATGAATTATCTTCAGAAAACAGGTATCATTTAATCAGTGAAATCAGTCCTATGACTGAAGATTCTAGCACATAAATATAGGCAGGAGTGCTAGCAATTTGCCAAGAGTGAGCTTTACAATAGCTGGCTTTTCAGCAATGTAAGTCATGTAAATAAACCTCTATTCAGCCTGGTCACTTTCAAGCTACTGATGAAGGCATTAGTAAAGTTCATATTATAGCAAGCGTTTAGGAAGGAAAAACAGGGCTTCCCAAAGTTGATCTAATATGTTTGGGGGAAATATTAACATTTGATCAAATTGAGGATTGGGTATAGTAACTATTACTTTCCGGTTATAATATACACTGAGTGGCCATATTATTATGACCTCTGAACGCATAATAATCTGGCCACTCAGTGTATAGCCTATATAATAAAAGGCTAATATGCAAATTGTCCCCTCGACCATAAGTTCAACCAGCAGGCAGGCCGGCCAACCGCCCATGTCCCCTCCCCCTGGCCAGGCTGACCGGATGGATGAATTCATGCACCAGGATCCACACATTCTCACATACACACACACACACACACACACACACACTCACACGCGTGCATGCACGCGCGCACGCATACACTCTGAGTGGCCAGATTATTATGTGTTCAGAGATCATAATAATCTGGCCATCAGTGTATATTTTTTATAATATTGGTGAGCATAAAAGCTTTACTGCTCATCCTATATGTGCAGGGAAATCATTGGGCTCTTTATCCCCATCCAAACATGAGTTACCAGTGTCGAGAAGGCGTGTGTGGGAAGGAGCTCCATCACTTTGGCCACTACCTCCAAGCTCTGGCGTAAGTACCGCTGCCACTCTGTCTGCTGCTGCAGGGGAAACACAGAGGCAAGGTTCTGTCATTTTCCCTGCCAAGCGATCCTCAGCCTCACTCTTAGACATACCGTCTTGAAGAAATGGCAAATGTTGGAATCAGGTTATTTGGTACTTTAAAAAGGCCAAGCTAAAAGATATTTTTTAACCCAAAGTATCATTAAAAGATTTTTCCTAAAAAACAAATGATCCCAATGGACACAGATACTAGGGGGGGAGGGTATGAACAAGGAGGTGGGGGGGAGGGGCATGCAATGGGAGGATAAGGACACATATGTAATAACTTAATCAATAAAGAATATTAAAGAGAGAGAGAGAGAGAGAGAGATATGATCTGAGAATGAACTACTTTTTCCCCTACAGTCATAGGAACAGAGATAGAAAAGCCACTTGTGAAAAAAATGCTCATGTCCCCTTTCGCCCATCCCAGCTATAGGAACTGGTCACTCATTCCTTCAGAGACAGACTGGGTTCTGTAAGTATCACTAAGTCAGTGCCACTGAAGTATGGTCTACAGACAGGCAGCATCAGATCTCCTGGGGGTTTGTTAGATGTGCAATGCTGTGAGCCCTACCCAAGCCTCCTGAATCAAAATCTGTTTAACATCTGTGCCAGTGGCTCTTATCCATGCTAGAATACGAGAAAGCATTGGCCTAAGTCATACAGTTAACAAGAAGTGAAGCCATGTTTACCAAGCACCTAGCATGCAACCAGGCCTGTAGCCAGTCCTTCTGCATGTGTTACCCTCACACAACTGTCAACACAGACATACCTCCCACTTTTGGGAGATGAGAAATTTAAGGTTCAGAGAAATTCAATGCCCTGGCCTCTGTTTCTTTCATGGATTCAAATCCAGGCCATCTGATTCCCAGTGCAGAGTACAGAGCTCTTTCAACCCAAACAGGGCTACCCTCATGGTCTTGATTATGCCCCAGTCATCGCTATTTTGAAGCTATAGCAGTGACTTGACTATTTTGAAGTGCATGGTGGTTATGGGGGGGGAAAAAAACAACAACACTAGAGCTGTGCCCTTAAAGACATTTTCCTTATCAATGTGGGACTCCAGCATCAATAAATAGATTCAAAACCGATTTTAAGAAATATCAGTTTGTGCCAAAACCGGTTTGGCTCAGTGGATAGAGCGTCGGCCCGGGTTCGATTCCGGTCAAGGGCATGTACCTTGGTTGCAGGCACATCCCCAGTAGGGGTTGTGCAAGAGGCAGCTAACTGATGTTTCTCTCTCATCGATGTTTCTAACTCTCTGTTCCTCTCTCTTCCTCTCTGTAAAAAAATAAATAAAATAAATTAAAAAAAAAAAGAAATATGTTTACAAAATATACTCAACAGAAATTTCCTTTCATTCTAGCCTTTTCGTTTAAGTATCTCTTTCACTATTTCCACCAGCATCCAACTAGCTTTTATCTGTTGCCCAGAGTGGGGGCTGGAAGTGTAGAATAGGAGGGATACCGAAGTCTTGCACTTTTCACTGAGCAGATGTACTTGCATCTCTAGCCCACATAGGTAAAAATGCCTGTAAAACTTTTTTTTACAGTTAATGAACCCAAAGAGAAGGGCAGGATATAAATTTCATATGAACAACTCAAACTGTAAGACTATTCTGGCTTTAAAAGTCTCCAGAATCAAGGCCTGGCTGCTCCAGGTCTCCATGCTGATTCACTCCACAACATGACAACCAAGAAAGGCCAACTAGGGCGTGCTGCTTACATCGTCATCCAGAGTCTCGTCATCCAACTCCTCCAGCTGGGCCTGGTTGTATGTGAACTGGATTCGATTCAACACCTCCGAGAGCAAGAGGACTAGGGCGTCTTCGTACCTACGTGCGGGGAGAAATCAACTTCCGGTGAGAGCAAGCTTTTAGCCTCAGCCGTCAAAAAGGCATCCTGCACCGTGAAGGAAATGGTGTTCGTGTGTTGAGTTACCGTAAACAAAAGGAGCATCTAAACTAAACCAGTGTCTGGGCTGGCACGTGTGTAGGTGAGCAGAGCAGTAGCAGAGTGTTCTTTACTTAACTACGCTCCAGCACCTTCTTGCTGGACGGTCCCTTTTAACATCTATAATGTCCTTCTTTATCTCTGGCAGCGATTTTTGTCTTCGGTCTATTTTGTCTGACATCAGTGTAGCTACCCCAACCTCTTTTGGTTATTGTTTGCATGAAGTATCTTTTTCTATCCTTTTTATTTCAACCTATCTGTGTCTTTGAAACTAAAGTGAGTCTCTTACAGACAACATGGAGTTGGACAAATTTTTTTCATCCATTCTGCCAATTTCTACTTTTTAACTAGAAATTAACCCTTTACATTTAGTTTCATTACTGATAAAGGACTTCTGCCATTTTGTTGTTTGTTCCATGTTATATCATTTACTTCTCAATTCTTCCATTTTGTGCTAAACAGATATTTTCTAGTGAACCATTTTAATTCCCTTGTCATTTCTTTTACTAAATATATATAAATATATATATTTATTTAATTTTATTTTTTCCATCCCCTTTTATCTCCTCTATATCCTCTTTCACCTTCACCTCCATAACCATCACACTGTTGTCCAAGTCCATGAGATCACTCTTTTTTTATTTCCTTTTTTACTTAATCCCTCTACTCACACCCACCCCACCCCTCGAGCTATCTGTCTGCTCTCTATTTATTAGTCTGTGTTTAATTTGCTTGGTAGTTCAGCTTGTTCATTAAATTCCACATTTGAGTGAAATCATATGGTACTTGTCTTTCTCTGCACCATATATTTTCTCAGTGGTTGCTCTGGGAAATTGCAGACACTACTTATAAATATCAATTAATTCAATGATTCAATCCTTTTAACAACTGAGAAAGGTAAGTGGTATTAATAGTATTCTTCTGATGAGAAAACTACAGTTGACAGAAGCTAAATAAATTGCCCAAAGCTAGCTGAGTTGAATCCAAGGCTCCTAACTCAACACCCCATGTTCTCTACACATAAACCACCAAATGGGCTTTGAGCCTGCTCCACCCACTCCCCCATTTTTTTCTTTAAATCCTCACCAGAGGATATGTTCTTCATTGATTTTTTTAGAGAGAGAAAAAGGAAGAGGAAGGGGAAGGGAAAGAAGAGGGGAGGGGAATAGAGGGAAAAGGGAAAGGAGAAGAGGGAGAGGGGAGAAGGGGGGAAAGGAAAAAACATAGGTGGGCTGCCCCCTGTACATGCCCTGACCAGAGATTGAACTCACAACCCAGGTATATGCCCTGACTGGGATTCAAACCCACAACCTTTTTTTGTGTACAGAATGATGCTCCAAGCCACCAAGCAACCCAAGCCTGCTCTTTAATCAGTTTTAACAACACATAATCTAAGGGGGAAAATGGCAAGAACCTGGAGAAACTCTGATGCACCCTAGTTGCTAACGCAAAGGCCAACAAACCACTAATTTTCAAGAACAAATCATGTTGCTTAAGTGCTTGCCTGTCCTGAAATGTTTCTCAGATAGGACCAGGAATTGCTCCCACTCATAAGACAAGCCATCATGCTGGTCATTCAGCTCTCAGCGCCACCTACTCTCCAGACTGTGATACTGGAGCTGAGATGACACAAAGCACACTTCTCAGCCCACTAAGGTCTCTCAACAGGGTGCAGAGGAAGACAGGGGGGGGCGCAGAGGGGGAGAAGGAGGGAAAGGGACTCCCTCTTCCTATGGGCTTGCTGACCAGCAATGTCAGCCCAACAATAGGTGTCATTACCAGCATAGTCATCTGGTAGTGACACCTATTCCAGTTTCCAGCTTCCGCACTCCCAGAACCAGCCTCCTCGTGCACTCTCAGAAGTGACGATAGTAGCCAAATTATTCTCTCTCCTCAAAGGACTCCGTGCCCGCTCCATGGGCCCCCAGGAGCTCCTGTGGCAGTGGGGCAGCCCTCTGTCCTCAGACACATGAGTTCTAGCTGCCTGGGTTCATCTCTCTGATGAAGATTTCATAACCCCAACCTCTTTCCTTTGGTACCCTCAACCTAGGGGTGGAGTTGCTTCCTAT